AATTAATAATTAAGCCAATATTTGTCAGATGCTCCGTTATTGAGAAAAATTTATATAAATTTCGATTTGAGCTCATCTAAAGTATAGGCTTTTTTTTTGGAATAATTCACACGGAAAATAAATTAACCTGACAACTTTTATCGCAGAACCTCAAATGCCGAATTCCATCGGAAATCCCTGACTCACTTTAAAAGAGACACGTAAGGGTGGGCAAAGTAACTCAAGGACAGACACAGAGCTTTAGATTTGTAAGCAGATGTCTATTGCTAACATAAATGTAGACGAGCAGGAAACTTTCTTGTCTTCTGTATTTCCATTTCATCGCAATATAACAACAAAAGCTGCTACAACACGCCATTGCTCTAGAACTCCATTCATCAATTCCACTGAAACTACAAGTGATTCACAGTTCGCTTCTGTCATTTCTTATGACAAAGGCTGTTTAATAACTCGATAAAATGTAAACACAGAGTTATTAGTCATAAAATTCAAACGTACAAACACGTTCTTAACTACAAAATCGCATGATATAGAACTCCTTCGGAGAGACATATAATATTAAAATAGAGTTTAAAGAACTGGGTTATATATGGGAGATACATAGACCGAACTGATTCGGTCTAAATTACGGACTTTTCTGATAATGACAATGAATTTTCTGTTCAGTATCAAACCTAGTTTCCCCGGATAAGTGGTTATCACTACGGTTGTATTTCGGAGGAGTCCTGGGTTCCATTCTTGACACTGTTGCAGGCTCCTGTGAAACAAGTTTGTATCATCGTCTCTCAGTCCTTCCAGACAGATCGTAAATTAGAATCTAAAACACTTCCTTCCATATCCGATCCAACTTTAAACTCACTAACATCTTTCCATTCCAGGTTATAGTAGTATGATCTATGCAGTTGATAAAACGCTGTTAAGGAACTCAGAAAGAAAAATTAACAAAGAATGAATCGATTAGTTTAAAAACTACAAATTATTCAAGACAGGAACAATCCCACGGGATTACCTGCAATACACATTTAAATCGTTATTCTACGCTTATGTCAGGAGTTATCGCGGAATCGTATAAAATTACGTCGACACGTGTAAAGGAGAAGAAAAGAGAATTTCAGTCACCGACTGACAACACTCATTTTGTTGCGGATCGTGGGAACGAGATGGGTTACACTAACCTACAAATCGATACGCCCTTCTCTTCAGCTTGTGTCACCGCACCGATATTGCAACCGCTATTCTAAAAAAAAAAATGTCGTCCCCTTCCAGAAGAAACCTACGTCTGTCCACCATTCTACAAACACGCCTTCATAATTAGCATCAGGGATATTGACCGGGCTTTGGCAACACCGCTATGAGCCGAAAGCCACAACAGAATAAATTATAACTCATTAATTAATACTTTAACTGACTCTCTCACTAACTAAATACATATCATAAATCTCGGTAGTCTCACGGAGAAGATGTATGTGGTTTTCTGAGTTGAAGATGGAGGTAAGATATTCCTTCGAAACACTGATAGTCACTTACAAGACGGGCTGGAAAGATTATGCAATAAACCGAGACACGATGAAATAAAGAATGAAAGAGTATTAAGAAACATTTTGGAGCAGAGGAAGAAATGGATGTGACAAGCTGACAGAATTTAGAGACACTCCACTCCACTCCACGAATAAAAGACGAAATACAGGCCGATTGGAGCAAAAAATAAAAACAAAGAAACGCTGTCGGAGCGACTGAACTGAGGCGGGAACGGGCGAACAAACGACGAAATTTTGACTGTCTGATTACGTTGTGTTCATGCTCCATTTGGAACATAACGTTAACACAAAAATTTCAAATAAACACTAATCATTTAACACAAAACGTGCAGTTTCTAAACAATATAATAACTTTGAAAGTCTATTTAATCTTCCCCATGCTACGCACGTGTTATCTTGCTTACTGGTGTCCATATTAGCGAAAGGAACGCGATCCGATATCTTTCAGAATTTCGTGCCTGAATTTATAACGTGAATTAGGCCTACATGTTACGAGAACACAAACAAACATTAGAAACATATACAAACTAAATAAAATACAGCACTAAAAGGTTAAAATGTTGTAAATTCGACAGCCTATTTAAATGTACTAAAGATATGAACACTTTCAAGTTATGAGATGCCTTATTTTGATGAAAAATACCAAGAATTCGGATACGCTAAGGGAGAAATGGACCCATCTGAAACTAGGACAACAAAGAGGCCGAAATTTGCCGCAAATATCTGCTTGGTTATTGGCGAATATGATATATAAACAATTCCTCCTTCCCATACAGAGTAGGCCTATAGTATTATTAAATTAAAATATTAATATAAACACAACTAACAAATCTTCGCCCTGGTCAATGCCTAGGTTCGCCCGGTACGACACTAACAGCTGATACGACACCCCGATGCTAAATTTATTTATCGAGAAATTCTCAACAAAATGTAGATTTAGAGCCTTCAAGGCAGGGAAAACGTCGATGTTATTCTGGGTTGTAATACCGTATGAACCCGTAGGTAGATACCGACGTTTCGGAGAAACATACTGTCTCCATCTTCATCACATCAGCCCTAAATTTGGAGACGGTATGATTCTACGAAACGTCGGTATTATAGATTTTAAATAGTGTGGTTTCTAAGTATGTGCAATCCAGTACAGACCAACAAATGATGGATTAAAACATATTTCATATATTCCCTGAAACAACATAAATGTAAGTTGTATAGATATTACAAACAAATATATATATATAAAATGATTCACTATCTCTTATGAAAAATTTACATCTTTCAGGTATCCAAATAATCAAATCGGCCTAGTAGACGTAATACACAGATTTAAGCCTGCGTAATGTTAATTGACGCTAAATAAGTAATCTCAATTTTATATTTCACTGAATTATATGATTTGATAACAAAATACGTTCTGTAATGATTTTTTTTGTAATCTAAGGCAGTTTTAGGCCTAAATTTACGAAACGTGTTCTAGAATCATACAACATTTTATTAAAACTATATGAAATAATAGCATGAACTTTAAAAAAATATATTTGATTGGGAATATTATAAATAAATTTCATGATCAAATACTTTCCACGGGAGTGAACGCAGAGTTGTAAAATATTCCGATCCATTGTACATTAAATGTAAGTGCAAAAATTAAAATTATTCTATTTCCAACAAAGACTTGCAGTTAAACAACGGTATACGAAGTTTCAGGAATTAAAACGAGAAGCTGAAAATAGGGAAAACTGGAGAGCTCTTTTTGGGCAGAGAAATGGACCTGTCGTCAAACAGAACACTGAATAATAATAATAATAATAATAATAATCCTTGTGGAAAGGAATAAAATAAGCAAGGACCTCTACTTCGTGTTCATCGCCGTGAGGACCTCAAATCCTACCAAGTCTGTACGTGTTCGTTTGAATAATTTGATGGAGTTAATATTGGCATGAACGGCCTTGGACCTCTCGGGTACTAACAATGCCTGGGGTATGGCTGTTATGTCCTAGTCATTCCTCGTCCGATGTGATGGGATCAGCTCTTGTAAAAAGAGCTCTGCCAAAAGTGTAAAGGGGTCTATTGTTTCGTAAGTTAACGCTGAGTCAGCAGAAGATAATCCTTGGCACTTGTAGGATGTTTGCTGTCCGTAAGAGTTCTGTTCCAGGCTTTATTACTAATCCAGATGTTTTATCATAACACCGATAACGATTAATGTAGTTAATTACTTTTAATTCTGACAAATACGAGCAGAATTCACCGGAAATCAAACAGATAGTCAAGTAACAATGTTTTCACTTAAGCTGAACAAGAAATACAGACTAATCCGAATTTGGAACTGAAATATTTTGTTTTCTGCTTTTCAAAAGTCAGTCGCTGCTAGTAGGGTTAATAATATTTTAGGTGAAATTTCATATATTCTTAAATATATAACCAGGTTAACTTTAACTACGTATATTTATTTATTTGTCTGTGTCCGAACAAAAGACAAAAGTTAGTTGTATTCCGAAGTAATTTGGCCTACAGAACTTTTATTATTTCTAGTAGGCAGCTAGTGAAGGGATACGTTTTATTTATAAAAATCAGTTCCATTACATTTTACGACTTCTAAACAAATTATGCAAATCCTAATTATATTTTGTCTAAACCCCTGTGAAGCAAAATCACTTGAATTCTAGCAACTATTAATGACGTTTTTAACTTGAACTTTATGATAAACCTAAAATATTAGGTAAGTAACTATTAATTGAGATACATGACTTTAAGTAAGTTCTAAAGAAAAGAATGTAATTTTTATATATTTAATTTCACTATATTTACTGCATTTTTCAACACCGAAACTCTCCTAATTATGCAATAGTACATAAGACTGATTCTTCCATAACAAATCTCTCAGAAACAGTATATTATCTTTCTATAAGCAATTTTTTCTAACAAATATATGCCTACGTTGTGTTTTCTTGCATACAGGAAAATAAATTTAAAACAAGTACGGAAAATGTTTTAGTTATCCAGAGCACTTATATTACAGGCCTATAATTTACACTGTATAACACCATAAATCGATATTTCCGTGTATGTAAAATGGGGCAACAGAATTTATCACAGGAATATTTAATAAATATGGACAACAACCGAAACATCAAAATTACTAAATATAAATTTCAGAACTTCATTTTTAATTTTCCAGTGTTTGTACAGTACGTAAGAAAATCTATCTGAATGTTGCAGTCTGTCATTAAGTAAAACGTTCTCTCCTACTGTGTTGTACTGTATATCTAAAGCGACACCATTTTGAAGAAGGTAATTAAAACTTTCAATAATGTCAACGAGTTTTCAAAACACTGTTTGTTTGCACACCACGTGCCAAAATATCCCCTCCCCCTGCTAGCCTCGCTGCAAAGGTAGACCGTCAGCCATTTGCACACTTATTCCTCAATAACACAGCATAACGAAAACCACCGTAGCTTTACTTACCTCGTAATAGTTGATACTAATTTGTTTTGGGATGCCTAGTTCTCAGCTATCTGTCATTGTGGCCTGATGTCAGACTTCATTACGTTGAAATACTGGCACGAAATGAGATTCCAAGCACGGTTGTCTGACACGGAAATTATAAAATACTCTGATGAAGATGAGTCGACAATAATTATCACTGAATGTTGACCGCGTCTCCTCTGAGGCAATCTTGGATGTTCGACTGGCCGCGCTACCAACACACACTCAAACACGCGAGGCGCCATCTTGGAATTGAAAGACGAGACGAAGAAGAAGATAGAAACAAAAGAATGTGCAGCACCGCTATCGATAAATAATTATCGAGTAGAAGAAACGAGATATGTTACGCTCACTGGCTTTCATCTGTACTTTACATTAAATATGATTCCTGGCGACACACACAATTTGAAAAATACATTCCGAAACATTGCAAGTATAAAAGTACAACTTATAACATTGTGTTTATTCGCTGAATTGCATTTAATAGCTCCTCATACGTCGTTAAGATGCATGTACATTTGACGCATATAATTTGTTGAAAGAAATGGAAATGTCAGTCTCAGAACTTTCTCCTGACTACACTACATAAACAGAACAGCCGAAATAAGATTAAATAAAAATAAGTTAAACCCTGACGTAACCAGTATTATTTAACCGTTTACTAAAACACAATAATTAAAAAGATAAATAAATTTAGGGCTGATACAGCGAAAGCAACTTCACGACGTTTCATTTTCCTCATACCAAACAAATGCTTCACTGTCTTCCTTAGATCACGGCTTGCCTCCGGCAACTGGCTAGACTAGTACAAAGCTTAGTCAGTGGAGAGCAATGGCCAAATTGTTTTTGCTATCACTGAATTGTTTATGGAAGGAAATAAGGTCTGGGCAGAAGGGTCGAATGAAGCAGGGTGTTCTAACAGGGTGTGTGCACTTATTAAATGTGGAGCTCTAGGAGGGGTGATAGAGGTATAAAGGTGTACCACAAGAAACAAAGGGGAAGGCAGAGAGACAATTTTAGAAGTGGACAGTCAGTTCCGGGAAATTTTATCTATGTATCTGCTATTGTAAACACAAAACTCTCATCAAAAGAAGTCAATGAAATAAACATGCAACTTCCTGGCGCATACAGAAGAAACTGTCATTCATCAGGTGCTTATGTACCTCCACATATCTGCATAGAAGCATTTGTTTGCATACATAAAATACTGTCATACAATAGAAAGATGAGATGGGCTGTGTCAATACTAGCAGTACAGTTGGTTAAACAAACCACAATTCATCAATTTAAGAAGAAACAAAATTACGTAGTATTCCGTGCGCACGCAACACAACGTCAAATAAAAAACAACCAATAAAAACACGCCGAACAAAAACAAAAAAAATGGGGGGGACGGTAGAAAGAATAAGATTGCGCGGACGTTCTAGACGTATAGAACTGCGCACGCGCGAGTCACTTGGCTACAGTTTCCCGCCATTTAGATAGTTATTAACACACAACTTTTAAAATTCATGTAAATGCCAAAATTAAAAATCTTCTTCACTTAATAATCACTGGTAAAGCACACCACTATACACTACAAGCCCCGTGGCAGCACTACTAAGTTCGTGTCAGCTCCATCCAAGCAAACGACGTGACGCTAAGAAGAGAGACAGAGAGTAATAAGACGGGGCGGGAGGGAGAAGAAATGCTAGAGAGAGAGAGGGTTGGAATAAGGAAGGAAGGAAGGACTGAAGTCAGGTTTACACCGTACGACATTGGACGAGCAAGCATTTAGTCACAGTAAACCAGTTTGGTATTCTTTTATACACATAATTGGCCCATTACATGTTTGTACTGGCTGAAACCTATATACTGCAGATTATTCGTTGTCTGGAGATCTTAGGTTCGCATCTGTACAGCGTTCATTGCAAGGCTTGCCCCTCCAGTGGTTACACAACCTGAAATCAAAATAAAGACAATTTTTAAATTGCAGCGTTAAGAGGGAGATGAAAAATCCATTGAAACGTCGGTCGGACATTCGAAATTTAAATTTATAGATTTGAAATAAAACTTTAAGTCACAGATCACAGAGTGCGGAATACGACGATAAAATTTCAGTGTTCATAATTTCGAGGTATTATTAAATAGCTTAATTGGTATCGGCGTGTTGTTTCACCAAGACAGCAAGGCGCATCCTTAGGTCTTCGACATGGAGCGTAGCTGCGAATATACCGAATAAACAACAGCGAACAACCGACAAGAGGTGGTCTCCGTGCTTAGGGTTTGAGCGGGGGGGGGGGACTACAAACTGAAATGTTACACCGAGCAATGGACTTAAATGGTTTTTTCCATACAGTTCAGAATCTGCTGTATATTGGCTAGGATTGAATTAAATATTTAGGTTTCTGTTTGAATACAGTGCTATTTATTCTAAGGGCTAATCATCGAACGGTATTCCGTAGGTATCAAAAATCCTAATTCGTATGTTGAATAATTTTTGTATAACATATTCGGTCTGGTAGTTGGATAAGAAAAAGAAGAAAAATTGTTTTTGCAGAGGATAGAACTTTTTCAATTTGTCACTTTATCATCTTAGACAAAATCTTTGGAATTTTAAAACTTGTACGGGAGAAATATCATCGTGTGAGACAGGCTTTTGGGGAAGCATTAAAAAACACAAGCAAGAGGACGAGAAGTGTTGAGAGAGAGAGTATATAGAGAGTGGGAGAATAAAATCGACAGAATAAGAAAGAGAAAGATGAACATACGGTTGTGGGAGGGGATGGGCTAAATGAAAGAACAAGACAGAAACAATAGAGCAAGAGAGGCAGAAAGCAAGAAGTAGATAGAATAAGCGTATCAAGTTAAAAAAAGTAATATAACAAAAGAGAAAGGACAATATTAAGAGAAAATAATTAATATCTATAAATAGGCCTAGGTCTAAATATGAAATAGACAAGGAGAGAACGAACCTTGTGTTAATGCTATTCGATATTCCTTTCACCTCTTCATCTGTCCTCTTCCTTCACTGGTATTCGTCCATTGGGTACCTGAGTTACAAAAAGCATTGGTTGTAGTGAACAGCTCTATGACCTTGGTGAAATTTATAAAAATTCACCGGTTATACTACCCGCCCAACGCATCTGCACTCCTCCCCACCTGGCCGTTACTGTGACTGTCCATTTGACCATACATCCTGTCAGTTACCAACCAAATTTTTGAAGTTATGTTTGCATTACTGGCCTACACAAACTACGTCTGTCACCGAGAGGAAAACATGACTTGTAGGTTTCTACAACAGGGTTGAGAAAAATAAAACGGGACGCAAGCGAGATTAAACTTAACACGAATGAATAATTTTACAAAAAAAGATCTTAATAATTTTTATCTATGCGTAATATTAACGCGATTAAATCAATAAAGATCAGAGTGATTGATAACTACGCACTTTTAAGCTTTGGCGCTGACGAGTCTACACGACACCAGAACCCTGGAGAACATCATCCTCACTTCAGGTCTGACATTAGATGGACTGAATTTGTAGCACGCAATCAGAAAAGCAACTACCAGAGTAATCTTTAAATAAAGTTCAGAAATAGCAGAGACCGCTCCAAACTTGCATTCGGAAGATATCCATTTAAAGTATTGTCTATATCCTGAAGGATTATGTGATTTTCCCCAATTTATTCGGTCAAATGCCGAGAATTCACAATTAATTAGGCCACGACTTTTCAAATGAAAAATCATGGCATTTATTATGATATTATTTGTTTATTTATTTATTCACGCCTTCATTCCTTTTGTTTAATTATTTGGTGGTGAAACAACGTGACAGCCAATATGATGTACCAGATATTCGTTGAACATCTGCTATCTGACACTTTCATGTAAGATTTGTTTAATTTATGAGTTTTGTATCTTAACGTTTCCTACAAAACATGAGCAGTAAACACACACCCACGTTGAGATAATGGGTCTGGTAAACAAAAAAGATATTAAATGGTTTAAAATCCGGTGCTCACGGGTGTGAATCCATTTCGTATTGCGGAAACCGATTATAAAACAGCGTACAGAGCCTCGGGATATTCGAATGCATGACTGCATCAGGCAGATACAAGAGTGAAAAGATGTCGGATAATTTGTAGTACATTAACTCTGTGGAAGTATTAGGAAAAAAAAAATTGAAACACGATCCAAGACCCATCCTAAAAACCCATTTCCCTGAGATTCATCTTAATATAAACTTCCCATTAACATCTCGATTTTCAAAGTGATCATTTCCACGAGGTTTTACCACCGAAATTCTACGTGCATTTCATGTTTTTTTTTATCATCCTAGCCACATTCGAGCCAATAGTACTCTCCTAGATTTTACTGTACTTCATTCTATACCATTACTAAACGTGTTTATTTTAGTTACGAAACTTAACGCCTGATGTGCGTTATTACAAACGAAGGTATTTCATAATCGTCCGCATGGAGATTAAAACGCTGACAGCACACGAGTTAGACTATCCCTGATGATGGATACAGAGAGTCTCCGAAACGATAGGTTTTGACCAGATAATGACGTGGCTAATTGATTGAGAAGATTCTATAACAAGTTAGTTAAAACATATGCAGGATTGTGTATGAAATACATTCTTTAACTCACCAGACACCCGCTTTAGAAAGATTTATGAGAAAGACAACAATGAGTTTTTGTGATTGGTCGTTGCACCTTCAGAATAAGAACGTGGAACCGTGTTACAATATGGCGTCTAAAGAAAGCAAATATGGAAAAGAAGTAGTGACGTCAGAAACAATTAATTTACAGATAAAAATATTAAAGCACCGTGTTTTGTGTCTGTCTGAATCAACCGTTTGATTCAAGGAAGGACGTGGCTGGTTTTTGTGTCAGGAAAAAAAACGCTAGGTGAACCGTTAGTTATAAGGGAATAGTAAGTACAAATGTGGCTACCAGATGTCAGAAGTGTAAGGAGCTCAGAACACGTACTGCAGCTAGCAGAAACAAAAGAAGTGACTCACGCGCAAGGAACGCATTATGGATCAAATTCTCATGGAGGTTTCTTGTTCTTATTCACTCAACACGGCGTTTAATAACAATAATAATAATAATAATAATAATTTCATATGATTCTCTCGTGGTAAAAGCCGACGGAACAACGCCGCTAATCGACGTTAACAAAGTCTATTGCTTTTCCTGACTCAGAGCCATTAACATTCACTTTATATCCTAAAACACTATTTACATGAGATCAATTTTTATTGTCCTTCCATCCTCAAGTGACCATTTCTCAACACACTCCTGCCACTATCCTCTTTGAATTTCTTGTCTAGCTCGTTCAATCTGCATTCCCAGCGCATCTTATATTTCAGTACTCTGAAATAGCATGTCGTGGTTCAGTCTGTTCGGTCGGAAACCGTCCTTTATATTTCTATACGGTGGTCTAGCGGTTAGAACGCTGGCCTTGTAATCCTGGGGTCTCGGGTTTGATTCCCGGCGGTGCCCGAATTTATAACTTGTGTTGGGCAAGGCCGTGGTCTAGGCAACACGGAGTTTTCCTCCGTGGCATCCCAACAATTACTCCATTCACACACAGAAGAAGGCAAGGGCAAACCACTTCTGGATCATCTGCCAAGAAAGTATATGAACAGGTCCCAGTCCGAGAAAAAGATGGAAGGATCCT